AAAGTCAACACCGGTCAATACGTTGCAATGAAGGCCAATGCTGGTCAAAGTGTTGCAAGGAAAAGTCGATGCCAGTCAACACATTGTGACAAAGGTTAATGCGTCGATAATTTTTAGCCGAAACAAGACTCGGATCAATTTCATATCAAAGGATGATCCCAGGGAGTTCAATCGTAATTCAGATATGAATCCCCGATGAAGATAGTCGGTTCAACATCGACTCAACAACACGAGCTAAGATCAGAAAACAATACACCAAATTCAATTCAACAACGGTCAGACAATAAACGCAGTACCGCTAGAATCTCAACTATTTGACAAAATACCGAATAGACTGAGAATTGAAGAAGTTAAGAACTGAAGCCAATTATAGGTCCTTTCACACTGACTGGAGGTTAGGCCTATCACATCCAAAGTATTTCAGGTTCTTCTATAAAAGAAACGAGACCGAAATACTTTGGAGGGGATATCTGTAGGCATCAAAAATTACATATGGGTTCCCACACGCAGCTTGAGACAAAGAGAAGATGATGAACGTCATCATCCGGGTCAAAGAAGATTATCTAACGCCGGTAAAATGTATGAAGCAAATCGGTAAAGCGCACAAGTCAACAAAGTGACGAAACACGCGTAAAGGGGAAAGTAAGCAAACCGAAGAAGATACAAATAGCCAAAAGGGTCAAAAAGACATAACAACAGGCCAGAAGGCTCGCACTCATGTGAGCCACCACGACTATTTTAGTCTCCCAAACTTCCCAAAACGTGGATTTCGATGTTTTATTAGAATTCTTTTGTCCCAGGACCTTCTCAACTATTCTGAAGCTATCCTTAAGAGTGCCTGGGCGGTTATCAACTGTAGATGACATCAAAACACTTAATCTTATCAGAAAACGTGACGATAAAAGCCTATAAATAGAAGCCCAGGGTTTTCATTAGAGAGGATCTGAAATCTGAGGGCGAGGTACTGTCAAATTGAGCAGTAAACTACGAATTTTAGAGGAGAATTGGCAAATCTTGGCAAACTTTTTCATAAAGAAAAAGCCTTTGAAAGATTTGAGATTCTCTCTCCCTCTTTCCTCCGGATCAAACTTTATTTTGATCTCGAGAAGAGCCACAATCTCGTTTGGTCGTGATTGTCGTTGCTGCAATTGTTTCCTTCATGAAACAAGAGCATTAATCAAACTTTTCAACCGGATCTGATTCGTGATGGTCCACGGACTAACGTGTCCCCAGCACAGACAAAGATCTCACGCAAAGCAATAGGAGATAAACTATTGATGTGTTTTGTTTGATAAAGTTATAATCTTTAATTTTTATTGTAAGAATATCTTATAAAAAGATCGACTTTTCTTTCAATTTGAACTTGTAATCGATAAACGGTATAACAGGTTTAACAACAATGAAAAAATCAACTTTTGATGAAAACACTCTCCACACAATACCTCACAATATGAAGATAACAACCTCTCTTACAAGAATCTTATGACAAGAATAGAGAGATAGACTGTTGAAGAACTAGGATTGTGAAGATATGAAAGTGTAAACCGAAAAGAGGAAGAACTAGAGAATGAGTAGAAGAATTAAGCTTAGAAGTCTCAATATTAAAATCTTAAGTTTTTCTTCTAGTTATTTAACAAATAGGTCTTGATGACTATTTATAGTCTCTCGGATCAAATCTGCTCAAAATCGTTTTCCAGAAATTCAGATCAAATCCTTTAAAAACCGGATTCAGATAAAACTAACTGTTACCAGGACGAAACACAATCGGTCAACTGGTCGATTATATCGGTCGATTGACCAGTCAATCGTTGGTCAATTATAGGAAAGACAAAACACAACTGTTCGACTGATCTGTGTATCGGTCAACCGTCCAAAGGCCATTTGTGGGGGGGGAATAAAAACCTGTTCGGTCGACTAATCTGTATATCGGTCCACCATCCAGAAGCTAATATTTAGGAAAACAAAAGCACTAATCGGTCGACTGATAGGTATGCTCGTCAACCATCTAGTGACATAACAGATATCTAAATATGTTGATTTTCTAAATTTATTTTAAAGAGCAGAACAACTTCAAAAATTGTAAAACTTTGAAAAATACTTTAAGATATAATATACTAAGGATAAAAATGTATTTTCTTCAAACAAACTTTTGTTTAAAATGGTTTTTGAAGATTTTATCAAAAACAAACTTTGAAGTGTGTGTGTGTGTGTGTGTGTGTGTGTGTGTGTGTGTGTGTGTGTGTAATCTCCTATTGCTTCAATAGTTATCAAACTTAATTCTTGCCTACATTATAATCTAGAGAGAAGTAAAATACAAATATCGCTTACAAAGTTGATGAAGCTCTTCTTGAATATATACTTGAACGCTCTTCTTAAGTAGATATTTGCTTGAGTCGATCTTTGAGTATTTAAGGCTTCTTCATCAACTTGTCTCCACCTCCATAAATATCATCGTTAACGTGCAAGTACATCCATCCTCTTTTACATTGCACTATATTGCTTGATAAATACATCCTACGTAGGATCATTTGACAAGCAATTAGTACCAATAATTGGGTTTATAAATCATTATCAAAACACGAGACCTAATAGGGGAACACCCCTCTTTCCGACGGACTCATGAACGCTCCATGTGAGAAGTTCAAGATGCCTCACATGGAGAAGTACAAGGGCGAATGAGACCCCTCCGAGCATATCTAGAACTATTATGATATAATGAGCATTCTCCAAGCATCAGAAGTTATCATTTGCCGATCCTTCCCCATTACTTTGTCAGGGAGCGCCAAGCTCTGGTGGAACACCCTCAAGAAGAAGTCCACCAGCAGCTTCCAACAACTCAACCGGAAGTTTATCCACCACTTCTTGCCTAACACCAAACAAAAGATCCCCCCTCATGTATTAATATAGACGAGATAGGAGCCTGGAGAGAGATTTAGAGCCTACTTCAAGAGATTCCAGGCGAAGAGGTTGAAGGTCAATGACCTAGAAAATTTGGTTGTTATGTCCGCTCTTGTGGCCAGCCTGTAGAATAACAAATTAGTTGAGTCACTGGCCAAGAAGTCGGTCGCCAATTATGAACAACCGATGCCCAAAGCCAATGGGTATATAGACATGGAGGATGCCCGAGCTTATAAGACAGCAGCCAGGGCCATAGATACCTCCACGGC